CAGTTAATGGCATTTCAAAAGCTCAATTTAATGGCATGTCTACTTAACGAAAGTCTCAAGTTCTTGTGCGCCTTATTTCAAGTCTAAAGCAAGGAGAGCTATTATAAACTTTCACAATTTATGACAGTGTTCTTATGGAACTAACTGCCCTTTTTTGTCTGCAATCAATTCACGGCCTTTTTTTTTGGTTGCTGTTGTAAAACATTAATTAAATCTACGCTGAGTTTTAGAATGTTTCGTATATACAAAAAAAATAATGAATTGTAACAGTTAGTGCTTTAATAATTCTTGTGTTGTAATCGCGTTTTTGCTAAATTATATACACTGAGCTAAAAATATATTATTTGCTGTTATCTTCTATTTATACATCAAGCTACATGCATTAATTACAGCTAAATATTATCAGATGTTATCTTATCTTATATATATGTGATGGAAGTGATTTCCCCACATCCATTTCCAAGTATTACAGTGTAATGTAACATCGAAATAATACATTTTGCACATCTATTTACATTGTTAATTCAATTATACAATCAATCTGTTTTCAATGGAATTCATTAATGATAATTTTATTAAATTAAGTGCGGAATGTTTGTATACGATAAATATTATTTACAAAATATTTAGAGTAAAATTTATTATATTTTTGTTTACCAATTATAATAAATCGAAGTGTTAATTAATAAGTTAGAATTGTATAAAATACATAAAATATATAGCATAGTTAATACAGATATTTATCTGTTTTATTACGTTATGCAAGATACTTTCATTTGATTATGTTATAATTGGTTTCAACTCGTATGGACGCGGGTAATTTAAAAAAATGCATTTGATTCGACGAAATATAAATTATTATTTTAGCCTTCACTCATATTTGAAATCCCTTTTTGTTAGATTATTTCGTAATATTACATATTTATTTCTATGTCCCCTTCTATATATTGGGTGGACGCGCCGGGTTATTTATACAATTGCTCATTATTATATGTAAACATTGCTAGAATTTTAATCATTTTATTTCTTCAGATTATTATCACTTTACTTTTTATGTGAAAGAAAAACATACATACGAACATATTAGTTTGTTTTTAATGCTGAATGATAAAGAAATGATTATGTATGTTTATATAATTTCAGAAATGGTGTATAAACTTGTCAAAAGAGAATTGGACGTCGTCGCAGAGGGTCGTCGGTGAGGCATCTAGTTGGAAGTTGAGGTAGCAGCGGTTGCGGCGGTGGTAGTGTTGTTGCTGCTGCTGCTGTTGGGGGTGTCGAGCTAGGCTAGGGGTGAGTCAGTAGGACCATGATGGCGTGATGTCAACGGCGAAACGGCTCGTGTTAAGCTGGCGAGGGCGCAAGCAGTCGCAGGACTCCTCGTCTGTAGGCAGACTGGTGGGACACGGCGGAGGTGCGGGCGGTGGAGGAGGTGGCGGCGTCGGCGTCGGCGGCGGCATCGCCACCCTCACTGCCCACCATTATCAGGACGGGCACGAACTCGATGAAATCGCCATCGTTTCCAGCAATGCAGATCCATGTCACGTCAAGTATGGCAGTGGACCACTCACTACCATCAACGGACCGAGACTTGTACCAGGTATATATACAAACAGTATTATTTACACTTTCTTTATTTTTCATATGACTTTGCGGGCCACTATTCTGCACACGTCTGCAAAACGTTTCGCTTATTTCGTTGAATTACTTTAAATACCTTTGCTTCGTATTTGCTTCCTCCTGCTTAACAATATATTTTAATTTTGTAATATTAAAACTCAGGATCTACACATCTGGGTAAGATCCTTCTTAATTACATACATAAAATCGTTTTGTATACAATTTGGCAATTACGTAAGATATAAAATAACAAGCATCATTAGTATTATCAAATAAAGTCTAAACTACGCCTTCTTGATTTATACTAAGATATTTTAGTATATTTCAACTGTTATACTTAAAAAAATAACAAATTAACATATGAGATGAGTTATACAACTTGGCAATTATGTAAGATATAAAATAACAAATATCATTAGTATTATCAATTAAAGTCTAAACTACGCCTTCTCGATTTATACTAAGATATTTTAATATATTTCAACTGTTATACTTACAAAAATAACAAAGTAACATAATATAACTCATCGACGATCGTGCATTATACAAAGAAATTACCAATCTTCTACTTTCGGCCGGACATAAGGTTCTTCACATGGGAAGCCATTTCCTTTCTGTTCTCCTCATGACCACAAGTTCCTTCTGCTTTCCTAAAGAACCTACCACCGTTTTCCTTGATGGTTGAATCTAGACTCAAATTGTAGAGAGGAATTTTAGAATAATTTTACATAATTACTGATAAAATCTCATTATACTTGCTTAACTTTTGTAATCAATCGAAAATTTCATAACAGGTGTTATTTTCTATTTTATTTTCATCCAGTTAGATCACTCTTATATATTTATTGGATAACTCTATTTTTTGACATTGAGTGCATAATGAAAATTTGGTATTAATTTGGTATAAATAAATAAATTAATATAGAACAAAAACTTTACATAGTCCGGGTTCCACCAATATTCCGGACTGTTTGAAACTGGGCTACAATAAACCACACAAAAGAGACATAAATCGATCATTTATCATGTATAAAAAATAATTATGTTTGTTTGTTTAAAAAAAATGTTGCTATTAATATTAATTAATTGAATCTATTAGATTATTATTAGATATTCTTTTATATATTTTATATTTTTGTCTTTATGTACTTTTCTATTTATATGATATATTTATATGATTTTTACCTTGTTTATTTACTATAATTTCACTTGCTTTTTATTTGTGGGCTAATTGTGTACTTTATATTTATTTTATTTTTTTCGGGACCGAAGGAAGAACAGTTGATCTTTTGTTTTCTACTTGGAAAAACTGATTCGGTTCCCTTTGGCCAAATGTACTCATTGTAAATTTATTTTATTTTGTTTTCTTTGTATTCTCTTGGTCAATAAACTTGATTATTATTATTATTATTATTATTATTATTATACAATGGATGTAGTAATCACATTAATTATACTAATTGGTTTTGTAATCGTATTTGAAATTTACTAGAGTTTCATTCATGCCATTCAATGTTCTTAAGGTAAACCGAATATGCATAGATATATATATATTGTTCATAGAACAAAAGCCTTAGTCAAATTGATTCCTTCCATACAATCCTGTTGTGCACTCGACAAGATTACCTCCTAACAAAACCATGAATACTCTCAGACATAATTTCGATAAGAAGATAAGTATTTTAAGGAAAGATCAGTTTTACAAGAATTATGCAATGAATTCTGTTTTATATATATATGTTAAATTTCGTATTCCAGTTGCCGGCACGAAAGTTTGCGCAATGTATACGTGTGTTTGTTGTAAGTTTAAAATAATAAGGCCTTGTTGTATGTAATCTAGGGTGTAACACGTTGTGAACATTGAAAGCAAATCAGTTTCGGCCGAAGCGTTCATTTAATTTACAAACAATGACAGTATTAAAAGGCAATTTTCGATTGTTCCTAGCCAATAGTTCAAAGACTATTATACAAATTGTTTGTTAACCGATTATTCGTTTGTTAAAGTGTTCGTTACCCGATTTGTTACCCGAACTGTTCGTTAACGCTCAACTATTGTATATATTCTGAAACCTTAGTTGTCGAATATAATTAGGTTCTAAAACGGAAATAATATACCCAGATTTAAATCTAATTATTCATCAAAAATATCGTTAACAAAAATAATGGAAATACAATATAATAATTATAACAGCAATAAAATAAACTCAATAAATAGATAGACAGACAACTTAACCTGTTTGTATGAAGTATAGTATATAATGCAAGGAAATGTTCTAATATGACATGTTTCGAGAACCGAGGTTCTACTAGATTTAGAAAAAGTTTAAACAATTTATGAATGTCAAGTTTCAGTTTACAAATTACGTTTTCAGATATCAGTTGACGGTCTTTAAGGTTTTTCTCACTTTACAGATATTTACTATGATAAACGTAAGCGAGTCGAATGAAATTTCATTTATTAATAAAGATGAATGTGCAAACTGGACCCTAAGGCGATTCATTAATATTGAACGTAATTATGTAGAACCAAATATAATTTATCTTCATGTTCCATTTGGTTTGATGAGATTGATGGGAGGGCGGCGGTGGTGGTGGTGTATCTTAGATCGAAGTTGAATGCTTTTAAGCGATCAACACGTGTGAAAGATTATACGTGGAAGTTGATTGATTGAAAGCATCAAAAATATGGACAAATACTATTTGTTTATCGTGACAGGTAATTCCAATCGATTCGATTATTTTAGAAAATTACTTTTACGGCCGCTTTTGTATACATTCAATTCATGGGAAAACTGAATTGATTTTATATGTTTCAGATATACTTTTATTAAAAAAATAATGTAACAATAATAAAATAAACCAAATAGAAAGAATTTAATCTTTTCTTTCAAGTATTTTAATTGAACATTAATCGATTTTTCATTAATTTTCTTCTCAGACGTTTTCATTATTTTTCTTCTTCAATGCGGAACGTCGCAGAATCTGCGACACGTAATTAGGCTTTTACACGCAATATTGAACAACAAACTTGTAATTTTTAGTGACGGCACTTTCTTGAAAACCCATTTGCAATTCCATCAACGATAATTTAACGTAATCATAATCTAATTGTGCATTAGATTGTTATGAGATTTTCAGGAGAATGCAGTTTATTACTATTATATAAATCTATTAATAGAATATATTAAATGCGAAACATCTCTTACAACATTCATCAAGTAAATCATCTATTAGGTTATTAAAATTAAATCTAATTATTTATGATACATGTTACATTATAACAATTTAAGTTGAATTAAAGATAATGCGTACGGTTTGCTGGGTATTTAGGGTTAGAGCAATTATCCTTAGGTATTTAGTATAATAATTTAGGATCAGTCCAATTTGAACACTGTTTCCATCCTAGCGGACGCAATTAATATCGGCTTTAGAACTATAGCATGTAGCACGTACTCTTTACCTATGACGTAATACCGTAACAAACACATATTTATAGTGTTCCAAGTTTTATTACAAAATTATAATATTAATCACTCTGTTTATTAGTATTGCAGTTCTAACTAAGAAGATTAAAATGTAATATGTTTTCTTTATAAATTGATTATACGAATAGGATTAATGATTTCTTTCCAAGAACTCTATGTTTTTAGACAATTGCGGACTTCGTTACATCGAAGCTTTGTTATTAGAGTTAAAGTTTATCCGAGGTATAAGTATAATATGTTGAATTGTATAAGTTTTACTAGAGACTAAAGTTAATTAGGTATGTGTAATGCATACGATGTTTTGTGAATTTATTAATAAATATTGGATCCGAGGAGATTTATGTGTCTGCTTGAGTTTAGAGGAAATTTGTATGTATTGGCGAAGCTAAATTTTACGAGACTCCGGGTTTGTAACCCTGTTAAATCCACAAGATATTACTTTCTAGCTGATCTAACCTTCATATTGGAAGAGAGTTAAGATCAGTATAAAGTATCTTATACGTACATGTCGTATTGCCTAATTTATATATTTTCATACACGCATAAATAAAATTAATATTTATTATATAATAAGACAAATGTGTGAAATAAGTAGGTGTTATTTATGAAAGTATATTTGTTATACGCTTAGGGTATAAATCTGAATCCCTGAACTTGACATATACACAGTGAAATGTCTTCTCCTGTGGTTTCCTTTCGTGTCTCCTTTTTTATTTGTATTTGTAGTGTGTAGCAAATATTGTTGGCGATTTAATAAAAGCCGGATCGTTTTTATGCGACCGGCGAAATGTGTGTTAGCTGTGTGTGCGAAGACTTATTGTATATATGTGAGTGTGTGTTGTAGCGCCTCGACTATGCTTTGGTATCTTGGTAAAAACGTCTATAAGAAAGGGAAAGTAACATGGGTCAGAACATGGACTAAATGGATCTATATTCCGCTCCATCTGCAACGTTCAGTTCAGAATTCCGTTGCAATTTTCGAAGTCATATTGACTGAATTAATAAGAATCGTTACGCATCCGTTCGTTCGGAGACAATTGTAAGGAAACTTGTGTCATTAAATATCTGGAGATGTGATTTATATTCAGAGCGACATGTAAATAGCTTCGATTGTTCAATAATATTACGGTCTCAAGTCACGTTTTACCATCGAAGATGCACAGTTATTGTGTGTATTCAACTAATAGTTAAAAAAACAAAAATAATAATTGTGGCTAAAGATGCGATATAAAAGTGAGGCGACTAATGATATGGAGATGGAGTTCTCCTCAACCCCAGCACTAATTCGCCGACATTATATAAACTTTCGTGTGTAATTGGCACGGAGGAGAAAATTGTAATCTTAACCATTAATTAACATTCACTGAAGAAATTTCATTAAGTTTTAATGCGAGCGCAGATTTTAAATGCTACTGCTCCCAAGACACTAACGCATTAAGTTTAACATAGTATTGTTGCATAATATTATGAGTTGATGTTATAGAATATTCACCGT